TGTTTTTCTATCAAAAGCTTAGATGGAATTAGCATCACTCTTTCTTTGAGGAGCTCCTTACAGCAATCTCCAGATATTGTTTTTACAATCAAAAAGATCTTGTCAAGAACTAAAAATGACATAGATGTAAGAATCGTTACCAAAGCCTTTTTTCTCATAGAAAACTAGGAAAAGACTTCTGAATTTTTGTCTGTGGAATGAGCATTCTCAAAGATGAATGTCGTATTTGTAACGCTTACTCCCACGAGAGACGAGATCCCTTCAACAACGACGATTTCTTTTCTTTTTCGTTCATTGTAGTAATTCCCAATATTCCAGCTACTGCTCGATGGGCACAGAATGGTGTGACTGTTGCTGGAGGTCATGAAGAAGGCAATGCCACCAATCAACTCTCCTTCCCTTATGGTCTCTTCGTTGATGATGATCAAACGATGGTCATCGCTGACTGCGTCAATCATCGTATTATCCAATGGAAGATGGATGATATGAATGGACAAGTAGTAGCTGGTGGCAATGGCCAAGGAAATCGATGGGATCAATTGGATCGACCAACCGATGTGTTGATCGATAAAGAGACAGATAGTCTCATTATTTGTGATGAAGGGAATCGACGAGTCGTACGATGGTCTCGTCGTAGTGGTACAACTCAAGGAGAAATCCTCATCGACAACATCAAGTGTTGGGGATTGGCCATGGATGATCAGAGAAATCTCTACATCTCTGACATCAAAAAATGTGAAGTAAGACGGTATCAAATAGGAGACAAGAATGGAACTATCGTGGCTGATGGCAATGGCGAAGGTGCTGGTTTCAATCAATTCAACTATCCGACCTACATCTTTGTCGATCAACAACAGACTATCTACGGGTCAAACAGCAACAATCATCGTGTGATGAAATGGAATAAAGGTGCAAAAGAAGGCATTGTCGTCGCTGGAGGTCAAGGCAATGGGAATGCTCTGACACAGGTTTTTTTTCCTCACGGACTCTTCGTCGATACATTGGGTACCATCTATGTGGCAGACTCGGGGAATCGTCGAGTGATGCGTTGGCCTAAAGGAGCGAAACAGGGCACTGTCATTGTGGGTGGAAATGGTCAAGGAGCAGGAGCAAATCAGTTCAACTATCTCTATGGTTTGTCCTTCGATCGACATGGCAATCTCTATGTCGTCGATAATGATAATCATCGTGTTCAACGCTTTTCAATCGAATAGACTCAAAACGATGGATTATTTTTTTTGCGTTCCTTTCGTTTCAAATAAATGGCATTGAATTGATGAAAGAAATATCTATTCTATTCGTGCGCGCGCGACCAGGAACCATCCTGGTGGAGCCGTGGCGAGCGTAACGCTCATGTACGCACAGGACAGACTCATATCATCCATACCCTCCCCGCGAGAGATATGTCAATGAGTCTGAATAAGCCTGGTCGTGTGCCACGGACACCAAGACAGTTCCTGGCCAGGCTTTTAGGGACTACCCGGAAATCCTTCCTAAAAGACGAAACCCTAACCCTCAACGGACAGAATTCACCCTTCTCAATCTGCCTCTCCCTTATTCTCATCTAAAAAAAAATGGTACTGACTACGTGTGACGTTGAATGATGATGTTGTTGATAGTGACGACGCAATGGTATTGAGGACTAAAAAGAAAAGTAAAAAAAATAAAATTAATGTTACATAATAGAAAAGAATCAGGGTGTGGGTGTGGATGTGGGTGTGGGTGGGTGTGGGTGTGGGTGTGGGTGGGTGTGGGTGTGGGTGTGGGTGTGGGTGTAGGTGGCTGTTGGTGTATCTGAGGGTGTGGGTGTCGGTATGGGAGCCAGTGTCGATATGCAGAAGCGATACACCAACAGCGACCTACACCCACACCCACACCCACACCCTTGATGATCTCATATATATTTCTAAGTGAATTACTCGAATGTTTCCAACTTATATTTTTTTACATCTTTAATGAACATAGGCATAAAATCTTATGAGTTCGCAAAAATACACATCTGTTATCGAGAAGTGAAAACAACTATGCGTTTCAATACTTCTCATATTTCATGTTTTCTTAGTCGATGTCATCCTATTCGATACTGTCACTCTGTTCAGAACATATGATTTTGATAAAAAAATTTAAGTTTTGAGTTTCCACATAGTTCTATAGTTCTAATGGTTCACTTCCAAAAAGCTGCAATGATCTATCAACGTTAAGAAAACTTTTCAAATGTGAAAATCC